CACACACACACACACTCAGACTCACAGACTTCCACATGTTTGTGTGCTAAACAGAAACCCACACAGAACATTAAATGGTTATAAATAACTTGTCAGTCTTCTATGACCTACTTTAGCCTTTTAAACTTTTTCAAAGCTGGATGTCATCGATGTGTGTGCCTTTATGGCTGCTTGCTCTCTACATAAATTCACACAGAGAGATTTGTTGGGATGAGTTTCTTAGTTAACTGATTCTGACATCTTCACACCGTGACAACCTCGAGCCATCATCCTTTATCTYAGTGTGTGTGCTTGAAGAAAGCTTGACGACAGGCATGCAAAGGTTTTATTGGATTTTAACCAGGTAAAGGTTGAATGCAATTATTCCCTTACTTTGTTTTGAACACATTAATCTTCTTTTAATAGTCCTGCTACTGCTACATTTTATTTTCACTGTATAACAATTATTGTTAATAAACTTTCCAAATTAGTGTTTTGTGTTCAGTGACTGAAATCAACTGCTGTCACTAATTACTTTTACTTTTACTGGGTAAATTATAATTGCTTGCGTAAATTCAGTTCAGAAATATAACTGTAATATAACTTTAGACCACGAACAAAAATTAGGCTAATGGACTTGATGTCTCATCATCTAAAGATCTAAAACAACATGCTGGAACCATAAAAACTAACAACACTTTGTCTTCACTCATGGTTGTGTGTAAAAGTAAAATAAATAAATAAATAAATAAATAAATAAATAAATAAATAAATAAATAAATGAAAATCTTTCCATTTATTTCTTGCATATTGGTCAGATTGGTCTGCCTGGTTACCAGAGCAAAAGGGAACACGATGATGGCTTTTCATGATGAACTCAAAAATGGTTTCATGGCAACTGAGATCTCTGAGTTTCTGTTTTTAGACTAARTAATTAAAAGAAAACACCAAGTGAAGTGTTATTACGTATTCCAGACCATCTCCCAGAAGAAAGGAAAATTTGAAAACATGTCTTCAAAACCATTTTCCATTACCTTTTCCCAGGCATTTATGACTTGATATAAAATTTAAACAGTTTGGAGAAAGATAAAAAAAAAAAAAAAAAAAATAAACAGCTGAATCAGTTGATGTACAGTAAATGTTTATTACGGGTAAAGATATTTTTGTAATTTAATAATCCAAAATTTTTAAAGCAACATTTCTGATCTTTTAAAGGGTGTTTATTTGAAAAGGTTCTGCAACAAATAATATATTACTGTTGTAAATGTCTATTTAAACAGCAACAGTTTGGAAATTTTTTTTTTTTTTGATGAACGAGCCAATAAAACCATCAAACCTGTGACCAGGTTAAGACCAACATAAAGATTTAGAAAACAGGATTCATGAACTGTTGTAAAATATCTGAAACTGGAGCTGCTTTGAGACGTCAGCAATCCACTTTGGATTTGGTTTTGCTCAGATTAGCTGCTCAGTCTGATTAAAATAATTTAAAAAAAAACCTCAGAAATGAGGCTAATGTACTATCTAGCAGCAAAGTTATTAATCCATCATAACCATTAAATACAAAATGCCAATGAAGCAAGGAGCATGGAATTAGCTACTAAGAAATAAAAAGGAAACATTGATTGCTAATATTTGCATAAAGAGATCATGCAAAAGTCTTTAAATCACATAAGAAGTTTATTATAACATCTGAGGCAGAGTTTTGTGGCACTGCAAACAAAAACAGTTCTTGTGCAGAAAAGTCAGCAGAAGAAGGATCATGTGACAGCCAATGAAAACAAAAGCCTCACTACTGATTAACTACTGATTCATAAACCAGGCTTGTTTTCAAAACTGAGCATCTGTTTAGCCATTTTTTCTCAAGAGCGCAATTTGTGTATGAGCATGTAAACATAGATTGAGAATTAGCATTCAAAAACCAGCATTGTTTTTTCTATAAGATAATTTGCCTTGTGGTTGATTTTCCTGTATTTAGGCGCCACAGAAAGCTACTATGTGAAATTTTCATTTGTGCTTGTCAGATATAATATTTCAAGACAGATCTGAAAACTCGTGAGCATCAGAAAAACTATTCAGACTTCACACATTACTCTTTTTCTCATATCACTGGCAGAATTTGTGTAGATATYCACATTTCATTAGATTGCACATTAAGATTTTCTCTGTACTCCTTTTTCCATCATAAACTTGACTTAACACTAGCGTGTCTTTCTTTAGTTTCTATAAAAAATATAAAAAAACAAAGTTATTGATTTAGCTGAGGACAAAAAAATAAACCAATGTAGGATTTGCAATGAAGTGCTGCTGATGGGTCCCTGCTCTTAGATAAAGCTCTGAGTACACACAGATAAAAGAGAAAAGGAAGTGAAAAACAAAAAACAAAAAAAGAGTAGCAGAGGATTTTGTTACTGACTGAGTGCGGTGACTGAAGTACGGAGAGACAAAATGATTCAGATCTTTTTGTGTGAAATGTGCAGCAAGAGACAGGGAGAACAAAAGTATTTTTAYTTGTGAGTCATATTATGTTTTCAAAGAGAGAAAGAGATGAGAATCGAGGAGGAGGAGGCTGCTGGGTGATGGACAGGTGGAAATCTGCAGAGTGGCAGAATCACATTTGCATTAGCATGTCTGCCTCATGCTTACCCAGAAACCAAATTGTTTTTTTTTCTTTACTGTCCAAATGTTCTATCTGAACCCGTTCCTYGTGTATTTACTGAATGAATCACTTGTGGAGCTGCAGCACTCTGTCCTCCATCACCCTGCGGAGAGCCAAGCAGCGGAAGCAGCAAACATCAGCAGGAGTCCGAAACTCTGGAGGCAGTGAGACAGAGCAGCAGGCAAGATCTTAAAAGGAAGGTGTGGCTGTTCTAAGGTTTTGACTAACAGTCGCAAATTCCCTTTAAATCCAGTCTGCTGGGAGTTCTGTGCCCGTGGCACGCTGAGGAGGAGGAGGGAGAGGAGGAAGAGCAGAGAAAAGACGGAGAGACCAAAAAAACAGAAAGAGTGCCATCTGCTTTTTACAGCTAAAGGAAAAAAAACTGAAGTGAGGACAAGTTTCAGGAAGAAAAAAAACTAAACTCTGGGGAATAAATCATTGTTTTGTGCTTTTGTTTAGGGAGGCAGTGAGATCCTTTAAACTACAGTAGTTTTAATAGTTTTCAGGTGGGAGGAAAATTCTTGCTTTGTTTAAAGGGAAAAAAACATAATAAAATGTGATAGTTCTGAGCAAAGGCAAAACATAAAGGCAGAACTGTCATTGCTTTGAAGAACATTGCTACAGCCAAGACTTTGGGGATTATTGCAGAACAGCTGTTATTATCACAGGGCTCCTGCTGCGCGTGGACTGCTGTGACATCTGCAAAAACCTGCAGGAATCCTGAGTTAAGAGCCTCAGTCGCACTGTTTACCTGTGCTGAATGAAATATCCCCACATATACATGAGTAATGAATAAACCAAACATAATTAACATTTTCCAAAACTAATTAGTTAAAAATACACTTTATATTACAGCATCAACTGCTCTTTTCTAGTTGTGTGTGGATGTAGCCTTGTGCCTTTTTTAATGTGAAAAACGTCTTTATTTCTATTAAAAGGTTTACAATGAGAGGTTTTTTTTACTTTAACAACATTAAAATATGTTCGCTTTTATATTAGACTGAAAACACATGTTTTCTGTACAGTAATTACAAATTCCTAAAATTGTAAACCAGGGAGAACATTAATGCACCATGATTTGATAGCTGTGGGCAACCATAAACAGTTTGCAAAAACTAGAGGGGAAGATTAGTTATTTTATGATTAGCAACCTGCTTTCTGTTGTTTATATTATTCAGGATATACTTTTAATATTTCTTGTTCCTAATAACCAACTAGCGGTGACTATTCTTAATGGATAAAAAAACTGGTCAAACAAACAAAAGTGCTCAGCCTCTCTTTTGATTTGCTGTTTCAGTGAAGCCCAGATGTCTGGTCTCAATCACTAGTCTGATTCCTTCAACATGAAGGTAATTTTCTAAATTATAGACCCATTACTGCCAAATGGAGTTGCTTAACGTCTGATTGAATGTAATGCTGTATTGATTTGTGCAGTTTTCTTAGATCAGCCGTCACATCCACGTTGTGCTCTGAGTTGGTTGATGTCTGACTGGGCTGCAAGTGTGGGGTGCAGAATAAAAAAAAAATAGTGAGGAAACTGCACTTAAAAATAGGCCGATTTTCAGTTGCATTCTGTTTGTGACCAGTGAGGTCAGGTTTAAGAGGCCATTTTTGAAAACCATGACTTGCTTTCTTTTACACAACTTGCAAACCTTTATGCACATTATTTCATTACCCACTTCTTTCCCATCTACACTGGCAGTTGGCCCCATCTTTACCTTTTTTTCATCATCAGCATGAGAAGCTCTGGACATTCTGTAGCCTTGTTTGTTAGGAGAGTTTGAGGAGGTTTGAAAATAGAGCTCTAGAATTACAAAAACTGAACTGAGAAGGGTTTGAGCTTCTTGTAACAATTCTGAGGAAATAAAACTGTCGCACAAATGTTTCAAATTTGTTTAAAATTCAAGTGATAGGACTGCGAGCCTCAGAGACTTGTGAGAAATTTGAAGAAAGCCACATGATGGTTTGACAATATGGAGACTCCACTGTGAAAACTGTTCACCAACCCATCACCAACAGTTGGCTTAATAATGTGTCCAAAACACCACAATAAGGCTCTAAATTTTGAAAACTTCAAAAAGCCAGTGCATAGTAACCCCTCCATCACAAACCCCTTTTGAATTCAATAAGCATGTCATTTTAAGTATTTACAAATTATACAAGACATAACTGTAAAGCAGAAAAAAGGCACTTCTTTCCATTCTTACATTTACAATGGCTTCTTTGGTCTGGGCCATGTCTGAAATGACGCCATCTGTGATGATGAGGAGGACGAAGTACTGCGAGCCGTCCTGCACTGCCGCTGCATATCTGCATACATGAATACGGACAAACAAGGTTGTTAAACATGAACTAGTCTGACTGAGATTTAGAGGAACAATAGCAGTGAAAGATTATTTTACGACACAAACATGAAAAATGTTTCATTTCTACAAGTCAAGTTCAATAAAGTGCCTCAGTAATATGCACTTAGTAGACAGAAAAATAAATCTATCAACTGATTTATGTCATTTTCATAAATATAGTTTTATAAAATATGAGTATTAGGCAGAGTTCACACAGTTTTCTGATTGCTGTTTAATGTCAACATAAAGAAGTACGTTATAATCTGCTCACTTTGTTTATTTTTTTTGTGAACAGATTCTAAATTAATTTTGCTGGTACTTATTAATTTCAAGTATTTATTGACCGAAAGAGAAAGGTAAATAACCCTCTTTTGAGCATTCTGACTAAAAGCAGAACATTTTCGTTAGTTTTTGTTATAAAATATAAGGCAAAAGTTGTTTATCACCTTGCAACATGGTTCACTATGGGAGCAAAATTGGTCGGCCCGTATAACTGAACAGTCTTCAGACTTTGATGGTACGCCTCTAAGATGCCTTCAATTCCATTGCAGTAAGGATTTTCCATGTTTCCRTTCTGAACATAAGGGAAACAAAATGCAGTTTTGTGATTCTGATGGAAACATTTCTTCAGATCCATAAACATGATAAATCAAAAGGAGCCAAATAATATGCCCTAACCATCAACGCTACAGTGAAACTCACCAGTGGGAACTCGTGGGACACCCGGCCATCAGGAGGCAGTTTGGCTCCAAAGCCTAAAGCTGGAAACATCTTGTCGCTGTCGTAGTCCTGAATGATCTCACCCACAGCCTTCAGGGCCATGGCATAGGCGTTCAGTTGGTATGGGTTCATGTAGTGCAGCGAAGTGGACTGGGAGGGATTTCCTGTTGACATATTTATCAATCAAAGGGTCATTTGAAATGGTATGAAAATCTCACATTAACTGCAGAGGCGAAAAGTTGATCATAATTAAAATGATTCTCGTCAATTAGAGCTGTAATGTTCTGACCCTGACCCTCTTTCTGAACCCGTCTGCAATAACACATCGCTTAGTGTTAACTGCCCAAATGGGGTGTTTTGAACGTATTGGAGAAAATGGTGCACTCAGTTAAATTGTAGGTGAGAAAACAGAGACGGGTCAGGGAGTGTGCTAACAAAATGTAATATAAGTGCTTTCAGCTTATASGAAACAACAAATGATTCATCATCCCATCCAGCATTATTAAGTGGACGTTTTAAGACAGCAAAGATGAATATTATTGTCATTCAAATATTTATTTGTGTCTGTTTTTTCCCTATCAGCACCGCCGTTATTTTGTATTTACTGGTTTTTATTTTGACCGCAGTGGCAAACTTACCTTTGTATTTATTCATGATGGAGATTAAGAAAAAAGTCATAAAATAAACAAAATATTAATTTCTAAGGGTTAATTTCCCAACATTCAAACTGTATTAATTAAACAAATCGTTATGCGTTGTTCTACATGATGTGTTCAAGATGCAGTTTGTCTTCTGACCAATTAGATTTTATTCGGCTTTATTTTACATAATTTCAAATGAACTTTTTCACATTTTTACAACATTTGTACATAATACAAAATTATGTTAACTTAATTTCATGAATAAAAAAGTATTGCAGTGTAGAAATGCTTTTGAACACCCCAGTAAAGATCATTATTTAATTATTTTTAGTTTAGAGTTTGTTCTTTAGAGCAGTGTTTTTCAACCCTGGTCCTCAAGGCACACTGTCCTGCATGTTTTAGATGTTTCCCTGCTTCAACACAGCTGATTTAAATTGATACGTAACTGATTAACAGGCTTTTGTTTAACTGCAATCATTTGAATCAGGTGTGTCAAAGCAGGGGGACCTCTAAAACACGCAGGGCAGTGTGACAACGTTTCAGTTTGACCTTGTGACACAAATTTCTGGTCATCAGTGCAAGAAAATGATATACTCTGAAATCTAACCCAATAACTGCCTCCTTAAAAACATCAACTTTAAAATGTTAGATGTTCCAAATTAACCCCAAAATAATTTATAACTAGAAGCACTCAGACAGTGCAAACCTCCACCAAGACCAATTTCCCCCATCCTGTAATGGAGTTAATGTACAAAAGCAGAGATGGAAATACATTTGCCGATGAAGTTCTGATGTAGCGAGCATTTAAGCAGGCAGTATGCACGGGATTTCTTCCCGGTGGAGTCCAATGTGAAAAAAAAAATAAACAGAAGTCAGACTGGTCACCTGATGTTATTCAGTGTGAAACTGGTCTCGGATTAAGCTCCTAAGTCAGGGCTATTCAACTGAACTGCTCCGGGGGCCACAGTTAACTGCAGGTCAACAGCTTAGGGGCCGAACATCCAGCAATTAAATTTATTATGTAAATAAATCAAGTATTACAAAGATCTGTTACCTTAATAGTTTAGTTTGCTGCATTTAATCATGATTACAACATACAGAACCCTATAAAAATAGTGATAATTACTCATTATCAAAAACAAAAAGAACACATTATACCCCCCATTTGACACAAATATTATTTTGACATCTCTGACTTGCCAAATTTTTTAAACCAATTTTATTTTCACTTTGATAGTTTTATCTTCAACTGCTTGTCATTTTAAGTGTCTTTAGTGTGCATAGAAATGGTTTTTACCAGCTTGTAGCCAAGATTCTGACGGTTCTGTAGATACCAAACATGTCTAACTAAAAGAAAAAGTCATTAAAGTAGAAAACTGGGGGTTTGAGCTTAAGAGATGAATGAACCAATTGGCAGAACGAATTTTGGTCTCTCGTGGACCTGATGTGGCCCGCGGACCGCCAATTGAATAGCCCTGTCCTAAGTTTTCATCAGTCACATTCCACTGTGTAAAACGTCTGCTTTATCCCCTTTTATGAGTTTGTAATGGTTTGACTGTCTTTATGAAGTGCTTGCTGGTACAGTCGGCTCATGAAGGTTTTTTTTTTTTTTGAAGCGAGACGCAAAATACAGCGTTTGAGCGCTTTCAGCATTAAAACATTACCTCCTCCCCCTTGGCGCACACACTCACACACTGTCTGGTCTAAAAACTAACCCGTTAGCTTCCAAAATGCCGAAATGAATCTGTTCTCCTCCCATGTCCAAACTTTGAGGCCTTGCCAGAAGCTCTCTGCAAGGCTGAGAAACTGTTTTGATTGGTTGTTTGGGAAATGTGGTGTGTGGTGTGTTTGAGGAAATGGGAAAAATGGGTTTCATGGTGCAGTCACGCACTTCCTGGTCACACAACATTCTCTAATTGCGCACCAAATGCGTAAAAATGTGCACATTATGGCAAAAATTATTCATCGTTAAATCTGGTTTTATTTGGAAGTAAATAAATTTGCTGTTCAATCCAGTTCAAAAGAACACTGAAAGCTGTCACTTTTTTTATTTTACTGAAGCCCTGTCAGTGCATCACAGCTTTCGAGCTCAGAGGGTTAAAAGAAATTTTAAAAATTCCTGACCGAAAACATACCTCCTTGGCGGAGGTAATAAAGGTTTCAATAGATATCAAGTGGAGAATCACGGTGAAATGCCATTATGCTGCACTTGTGAAYGTAAAACTGTTTCATTTGGACACATCAATTCTGAGTTTCACATTGCCGCCAGACAGGACACAGTAAAATAAAAAAAAAATAATGTTAGTAGATGAAAGTTGAACCTGAAGTGCAGAAACAAGACTCAAGGAACTTGGATTTTATTAATTAATTAATTAATTAATAAAAAAAACCAAGCTGAAAAGGCAGCAAAGGTACTAAAATAATCATTGGAACAAAAAGCAAACATGACAGATGTGGGAAGAACACAACACACAGACAGAAAATGAACAACAGGACACAGAATATAAAGGAACACTAACGAGGGAGAAATGACAAACACCTGGGGAGAGACAACAAGGCTCAGGTGAGGGTGGGCAGGGCAAAATCAGGAACTGACAGAGGAGAAAACTGAACTGTTGACAGAGGGATAACAAGAGAGAAACAAAAGATGGATCCACAACTGTCACAGAGAGAAAACTGATAACACAAGTACAGATCTCAAAATAAAAGAACCAAAAATCATAAAGCATGAAAGAAATCAACCTAAAAGATAAACTCGCTGAACTAAATAAATGACTGAAAAACAAAAACCCTGTCAAACTTCAGTTTTTCTTTGGTAATAAATTAAAATTTCTGCAATGTTCAAGGTGTTAGCCTGAAATCAGCAGTTTTTATGCTCAGCACTCAGAGTTCACACTGCATTTTCACGTAACATTCCACAAAATAAAATAAAAAAACAACGTAAAAGATCTCTTTAAAGGGGACATATCATGCAAAATCCACTTTTTTATCCATTAAATGCATTTTGTTGTGTACTTGTTGTCTCTAGCCATCTGGCAGCATGACGGCTTGGTGGTTAGCACCGATGCCTCACAGCAAGAAGGTCCTGGGTTCAATCCCCAGTTCAGACCAGGGGTCTCTTTGTGTGGAGTTTGCATGTCCTTCTGTGTGGGTTTTCTCCTGGTACTCCGGTGTCCCCCACCCCTAAAAACATGTACAATAGGTTGCCTTCAGGCTCAGGCCTCCCTTGAAAAAGAGATCTGCGATCTCAATGGGACTTGCCTGGTTTAATAAAAATAAATAAATAAATAAATCTAGAAGGCCTGAAACTGACATAATTAAAATTAAAAGCAGAAATATATAAATGGGTCAATAAATAAAAGGCATCAATTAATTGAAAAAAGGAGATGTTTGTCTCATGTTTTATCATATTAAGTTTTTCAGCTTAATTCCAACAAATTATATATTTTAGCACATCATTTAAATTTTACTGTTTTTAAAAATATATATGTTTTGTTCTTTTTCCTTACTGGACACATTTGTGTCTTTTTATTACATTTTTAATAGTTTTTTTTCCGCCACAAGCTGTTTTTACATTTTTCTGTCTCCTGTTTTAACTTTAGCTACCTTATGCATTGTCAGTTTCAGTCTTCCTTACAGGAGTGCAGGAAAGATGAATTCAGTCTCTCTCGGTACTTTGTAGAAATCTTTATATTCTGTTTGTTTCATATTTTTAATCCTTTCAGTTTTCTCTATTTTTATGACGTTTTCTGAACTAATAAGTCACAAAATTTGCAGTGGAACTGTAATGAATGGACCAACACTCTGGGTCAGACTCTGGCTCCAACGTGCAAGGCTGGATGAACAAATGTTTTAATGGTGACATTGTTGAATCAAATTGTTAGAGTTTTTAGTAATAAACCCTTCTATCAAAAGGGAAAAGGGGTGAAAGAGGGGCTTGTGGAGTTACAATAAGGAGGAATTCAGACCAAAGCATTGCAGTTCTATATAAACAAATTATATATTCATTCTATATACAGTTATATAGACCCCAACTGAATTATTTAAATGTGAAAAAGGATTGAAAAGCATGATATGTCTCCTTTAACTGGTTAAGATAGATGAATGTCTGTTCTTAAATTTAGTGCAAAAGCTTTTGACCAGTTTTAGTAAGAGAATTATTTTTTTTTTAAAAATCCCATACTGAGGGTACTGACAGAGCTTTGTAAAGGGAGAACTCCCAGGAGAAGGCTTTACTTTATTGGACATATGTGTGCAGTTTGCCTGTTTGTGTCTTCATGATTGATTTAGAAAGTGGACATGCCACAGTCAAGAGTACAGCTTCAGTATCTATTCTTGCCCTTCTCTACGAACACATGCTTTGATGTTAGCATCACTCACCATTAGATGCTGTGAAATCGATGGCCACGGTGAAATTGATCTGCGTACTGGAAGAGAATTGAAGAGGAGGGCATTTAAAGAAAAATAACTACAGAGACCAGCCAGCAATGACAACATGCCAAGACTCATGCAATCCCAGTGCTCTCACACAGTCTGTGACACAACATGAAATATATTTTTCTCACTCTGCCAAGATGACTGTTAAGACAAAAAAAGCCCTCAATCAGTGATCAAATAAGATTCAGGAGATTATATGATTCATAWCAGAGACGCGATGTGCCTCTGAGATGCAGAGCCAGGTAACAAGCAATTAGACTGATGGAGCACTTAAGAGCAAATCATAATCCAATTTTCCCCATGCTGATGAAGCTTTCCTCTCCTCTCGCTAAGTTACGACAGCAATATGAGGCCTCAAAGGGCTCAAACGACAGCCTCTCATTATCTCTGAAAGTCACCAAAGAGACGAGCGAAAGAGTGATAGTAAAATGAACGAGGTAAAGATCCACATTAACCTTTCAGCTTGGGCTGGGGACAGAATTTGACACAGCCTGATCATGCTGACCTCAGCATTAATTAAACTTTATTGGATCAATTCAAAAAAGGAGGTTTTTTTTTCAATGTATTACCACATCTGAACAAAAAAGCTGGTAGAGCTTTTTCCTGTGTTTCAGACTCTGTTTTCAGCTAAAGGTTAGAGTAACAAAAAGACTGCATTTGTTGACATTTGTTGGTCTTAAATTGATCCCTTTTGACACGTGGGACGAGATACTTCTTTGTGTTTTTTCTGTGTATTTCATCTATCTTTATGTTTTTATTACATAAGTACACACACACACACACACACACACACACACACACACACACACAC